GAAATATCACCAATAACCTATAACTGCAATGGTGTGGTTATTCATTTAGGGCCAGACATCCTAGAGAATGAAGTCAAGTGGACCTTAGGAAGCATTGCTAACAATAAGGCTAGTGGAGGTTATGGAATTCTCGCTGAGCTATTTAAAATCCTAAAAGATGATGCTGTTAAAGTGTTGTACTCAATATGCCAGCAAATTTGGAAAACTCAACAGTGACCACTGGGTTGGACAAGGTCAGTTACATTCCAGTGCCAAAGAAGGGCAATGCCAAGGAATGTTCAAATTACTGAACAATTGTGTTAATTTCACACACCAGCAAGGTTATGCTTAAGATTTTGCAAGCCAGGCTTCAACAATATGCAAACCAAGAATTTCTCAAAGAGCAAACTAGTTTTCAAAGAGTTGGAGGAACTAGAGACCAAATTGCCAACATTTTCTGGATTATAGAGAGAGCAAGGAAGTTCCAGAAAAAATATCTACTTCTGCTTCATTGACTACATTAAAGCCTCTGCCTGTGTGGATCACACCAAAATGTGGCAAGAACTCTAAGAGATGGAAGTACCAGATCATCTTACTTTTTTCCTGAGGAACCTGTATGTGGGCCAAGAAGCAACAGTTAGAGCTGAGCATGGAACAACTGATTTGTTTAAGGTTGGAAAAGAAATACAACAAGGGTATATGTTGTCTACTTCTTTATTTAACTTTTATGCAGAGTACATCATGTAAAATGTCAGGCTGGATAAGTCAAAAGCCAGAATTAAGGTAGCTGAGAGAAATCTCAATAATCTCAGATATGCAGGTATACCAGTCTTGCAACAGAAAGTGAAGAGGAATTAAGGCTCTTGATAAGAGTGAAAGGGCAGAGAATAAAAGCTGGCTTGAAGTTTAACATAAAAATGAGTGCTAAGATCCTGGCAACTGTTCCTATCACTTCTTGACAAATAGAGGGAAAAGAAATGGAGGCATGTCAGATTTTATATTCTTGGACTTTTGCAAAGATCACTGCAGACAGTAACTGTAGTCATGAAATTAAAAGAAGATTACTCCTTGGAAAGAAAGCTATGGCAAATCTGTACAGCAATACTAGAAAGCAGAGACATAATCTTGCTGACAAAGCAAGTCAGAGCTATGGTTTTTCCAGTAGCAATGTATGGCTATGAGAGTTGAACTATAAAGAAAGGTGAGCCCTACAGAATTGATACTTTTGAACTGTGGTGCTGGAGAAGACTTTAGAAAGTCTCTTGGATAGCATGGAGGTCAGATCAGTCAATATTTAAAGAAATTAATTCAGGCTATTTACTGGAAGGTTAAATATTGAAGCTGAACCTTAGAAAGTTTGACTATATAGTGAGAAGATGGGACTCATTGGAAAAGACCCTGATGTTGAGAAAGGTTGAAGGCAAAAGGAAAAGGGGATGAGATGGATAGATGGTGCAACAGAAACAATGAACATTAACTTGGACAGACTTCAAGAAATAGTAGAAGATAGAAGGGCCTGGTGTGCTATAGGTCCATAGAGTCACAGAGTCAGACACAATTGAATGACTGAACAACAACAACAACAATACACATAGATATAATTCACAGCTCAAGACCACCGTGAGTCCTACTTTCAGTCTTGGGGGCTTCTCCCAAAACCTCTCAAATTTCAGTATGTGCCTCTTCTCTGGGTTTCTATATATGTCAGTAAGGGTACCCTCAGCTTCCTTGCAAGGAATCAGCTAACCACTTAGTTTGAATATAGGATAACATTTTTCCACATTGAAAGAATACATAACAATGTAATGAACAGACAGTAGCTCGTACATAGTCCAAACAACTCTCTTTCTATTGATAATTCCACCTTCCTATCAGGTACCCACATAATCTTCCAGATCCTTACACACTGCCACTCTGAGGTTTAGACTCATCCTCTAGGAGTTGTAGTTCATAGAGTGAGTCAGTCATTGACCTATTGAGTCTTTCTCATAACTATGTAGCTCTCCAGACCTACAATGCAACCTGAAGGGTTGTGTATTCCTCTAAAAGAAATTTGGTGTTTGAAGGTTGCTAGGATGGCAACCTCTTTCCTATTGAATAATTCATAGTTATAATGTAGGGTCAAATTTGCTACTCCACATGGTCACTAAGTCTTTTAGTGCTTCTTCAGCTAGGGGATACATATTTGCTCCTCTATACATTTAAAGGTCATATAGAGATTGAGGACTTAAATTTTTAAAAAATTCTGAATGTCACAAACACCAAAAAAATCCCATATAAATAGTGGAACAGGAAAAATGAATATATATGAAACCCTGAATATTATTTGTAGCTTGCTTTAAAAAAAAAGGTATTTGATAAATTCAACAGTTACTTCCAAAGTTGTCCTGCTTGTTTGTGTTTCCTTCTAACCTTCCTTCTGTTCTTTTCTGTGAACATTTGTTCCTCTATATACATCTAAAAGTGAGAGGGAATTTTAAAAAAAAGCATGTGTATTCTATAAATGTAGATACCACCCTAACTACCTTCCACCCCCACTCATATGTATGTTTATAAAATCATTTTCACTACCTACTTCAAAGCATTATTATAAGGAAATTGCTTTCCAAAGCTTCAAGCACATTGTCATGTGCTACCAAATGAGTTACATTGTAATTATATATTTATGTGCTTTTCTTTTTCTTTCTTTTTTATTAATTAATTAATTTTTACTTTTATACATTCACTTCCACAAGATTTTGAATTCCAAATTGTCTCACTCTCTCCCCTCCCCCACCCCAAGACTGCTTGCATTCTGAATACCTCTTCCCCCAACCTTCCCTCCCTTATATACAACCCCCTTCTCTTAACCCCTTCCCCTTCTATTTTCCTGTAGGGCAGGATAGATTTGTATACTCCTTTGCTTGTATATCTTATTCCCCAGTTGCATGTAAAAACAATTTTTAACATTTGCTTTTAAAACTTTGAGTTCCAAATTCTCTCCTTTCCTCCCTCCCCACCACCCTCGTTAAGAAGCAAGCAATTCTATATAGATTATACATGTGTAGTCATGCAAAACACTTCCATAATAGTTGTGTTGTGAAAGACTAACTATATTTCCCTCCATCCTATCCTGCCCCCCATTTTTCTGGTCTCTCCTTTGACCCTGTCCTTCCTCAAAAGTGTTTGCTTCTTATTACCCTCTCCCTAATCTGCCCTTCCTTCTATCATCACTCCCTCTCTTATCCACTTACCCCCTATTTTCTTGTAGGGTAAGATAGATTTTGATACCCAATAGAGTGTGTATGTTATTCTCGCTTTAAGCCAAATCTGGTGAGAGTAAGAGTCACTCGTTCCCTCTCACTTCCCCCTTCTTCCCTTCCTCTATAAAAGCTTTTCCTTGCCTCCTTTATGTGAGATAATTTGTGCTTTTATTTTTCAAGGCAAAATAACTGCATGTGATATTTTGACTTCCTTTCAAAAAAGAAGCTGTATGTGATAAAGACAAATTGATATTGTGTCTGTGAAGAACCAGTCAAAATACATAAAAGATATGTCCTATTTCCTACCTATCAAACACCTTGTTCTTATCCCCAGTGTTTCCTCTCCCTTTATAATATGTAGCCATGACTTCAATGTAAAAATCCAAGCCTTAGGGGAAAGGGTGTTACAGCTTGTTCTCTAGAGTGGAGAAGACTATACTAATTCTCTATTCACCATGATTCAGTGCTCACAAAATAGGGAATATGTATGAATTTTAAGTAAGAGTTAGTTTGTGGCTTAGACTGAGGCTGAAAATATGGCATGTGAAAAGATGGTTCCAGTAGTATGCGGGAATGGCTTGTCCAGTCCTCAGACTTCAGATGTGGAATATAAAATCTGTCACTCAAAATGTTTTTAACTTGGTTGAAACTGCCAAAATTTATGTTCATCTGGCAAAGCCTTCAAGAACTCAGTTACTTCCATGCCATTATGAGGCATTAGGATTTTAACTCAAATCAAAGTACCCAAAGGATTTTTGAATGTTGTCATAAGTTCATTACAAGACATTATTTGTAGAAATATGGATTTATATCCAGTATTGATAACTTTTCTCTTTAACCCTGTTTATTTGATTTATACTAGTAAGATTTCTGATAATTTCCTTAATCACTGGGAATTTGTTAGCCATTTAATAAAAAATTCAGCTTGCTTATTTGCCTGTACTTTGGTCATTGTTGCTAAAAGGTCTTGTGTCTTAAACTTCTTTATGAGATAGTAACTAAATTATGTTTCTATATTCATAATCTGTAAAGATGGATACCTGAGCCTCATGGAAATAAATAGTAGTTTTGCTGTGTTTCTCAAATGTGTAGATAGGGAATAAGCATTTATATGGTGCCTGCTATATGCAAGGTACTATATACTAAGATCGTTTTTTAAATAAATATTATTTCATTTGATCCTTACCACAAGCCTGTGAGGTAGGTATAATTGTTATCCCCATTTTACAGTAGAGGAAATTGAGGCAAACAGAGGTTAAGTGACTTGCTCAGGGGTCATATAGTTAGTAAGTGTCTGAAGCTGAATTTACTTTTAGATTTTCCTGACTACAGGCCCAGCATTTTATCCACTGTATTTTTTGCCTCTTCTCTGGTGTCTATGAATTTGCACCTCAAAAATAGTGTAGCAATAGCTTCTTGTTCCTTAGGAAAAACCCAGCAGTGAAGAATTCTCATCTGAGAAGTATACGTGGGGGAAAATGACTCAGCACTTATTCACCTGCTCCTTTATTTATGCCATAACAATAAATGCTCCACTATTATAAGCAATAATACTGTGCTTAATCCACAATTGAAATACAGGGGAAAATGGTATCTCCTTACCTAGACTAACCAGATGTTGGAAGTTATTTTTACTCTAACTAATTGAACAGTGTGTAGTCTTCAATGACAGTGTCCTTGTTTGAAAAGCTCTTCTGGTATTTAGTGGTAAGGATTCTATACTCTATTTGTTTCTAATACAGTTTCAATGTATGTATGTATGTGTGTGTTTTTTTCCAGGCTAAATGTATATTTGGCTGGCATGAACCCATTTTATTTCCATGCGGTAAATATAATTTTACACTGCTTGGTGACTCTGGTGCTGATGTACACATGTGACAAAATTGTCTTCAAGGACCATCGACTCGCTTTTGTTACTGCATTAATTTTTGCTGTGCATCCCATTCACACAGAGGCAGTAAGTAGCATCAATACTAAAAAATAATGGGCAGAAAAAGTGGGAAGCCAAATGGATATTTTCCCCCTAGTACAAAATCACTTGAACTTGAGTTCAAGAACAAGTGAAGTTGTGAGAAGAAAAAATTGTGATACATTAAGGTTTTTTTTTAATAAAATAAAACATTTATTTGACAACTTCGTGTAGGCTCAAAACCATCCTAGTGCTTTCTACTGCTAATTGATTTTCCAATTAAAACACCTTAGTCATTAGAAGTAGGAATAAAGCAGCACATCTGAAGAAATCCTGAGCCTATAGTCTATGTAAGAAGACAGCTTATATTAGCACTGCTTGCTGTTCTGTTCTAAATTTTTAATTTACCTTTTTCTCTCTCTGTCCTTATGTTTACCATGTATGCTATTTCAATGGTTTATTATGCTAATCCTTACACATTTTTAAAGAGGGCAATCAAAATTTAGAACTTCATTTCTTTATCAGATTCACAGTTTATGTGACCTACAAATTATATTCTGAGCTCCTTAATTAGAGACAACCCTTCTAAAGTAATGTTACTTGTTTTGTAAGCAGTGCTGTGCTGGTTATAAAACTGTCGTGAGACATTAACATCTGTCACTCCCTACTTTCCATTTTGGTCATGTTATAGCAAAAGCTATCTTCGTGGAAAATACCTACTGGTTTTCATGCACTGGTTTTTTTTTTTAATTTTAAGATTATACTGTGGAGGAGTAGTATATAGTTTTGAGAAAAATGACTTCCCAAGTCAAGTTCAATTGTTAATCTTTTTATATTTCTTATCATCAATAATAATACTGAAATATTGGTATCTGACATATCTAATTTTTCAAGGTTTACTAAATATTTTGCTTACAATTACTTGTGAAATACTTAGTGCAACTGCTGTTATTCCTGATTTACAAATGGGAGAATTGAGATATATGATTAAGTGACTTACTCAGGGTCCCAAAGCTAGTAAGATGCAAAGCTGAAATTCAGAGTAGGCTTTCATACTCTTAAGATCACATTTACCTCTTTCTTTGTCATTCTGCTCATACCATGCTGTGTACAGAGATGCCCATTGGTAGGCTTTTGCTCAGGCATGAAAAAGATAGATTGTGGGTTTATGCCACATAGATAATAAAGACCTATAATGGCGAGGTCTCCTGAATTGCTACTGGTAAGCAGTATAACTCCTTTAAAATCAATGGATGCATAGTCAGAGGCTCAATTTAAGTGACTTTCTCCAAGTCATATATATATATATATATATATATATATATATATATATAACTGTCAGAGCCAGGATTCAAACTATCATTTTCTGAACCAAGAGGCTGCCTGGCACAGGGCATAGTTAGGGAACTAGAATTGGAGTCAGAAGAACCTGGATTCAAATGTCACCTCAGACATTTACTAGTTGTGTGACTCCAGGCAAATCACTTAAATTCTTTCTGCCTTAGTTTCCCCATCTGCAAAATTGGGGGCAAGAGAGGTTGAACTCACTTATTAAGGTCCCTTCCAGCTCTAAATTTAAGAACTATGAAAAGCATAGTTTTTCTTTTCACTTTACTTCTTTTTCAGGTAAGTAATGTGAACCTCAAGAACTTGAGGGGCTTCTAAGTGCTCTAGCTGCATAGTTTAAATGACTGACCGTGGCATTGACTATCTTAGTTTTTAAAGTTATCATTTATAATCCTGACATGTTCATTTATTTTTTCCAAATTTCATATACTTCATTACCCAAAAAAACAAAACAAAACAACAACAACAACAACCAAAAACCAAAAACAAGAGAGGCATTCTGTTTTATGCTTAAAAAAAGAAAATTTACAGTGCTCAGCACAGTGCCAGGTACATAGTTGGTATTCAATATATATTGCTGGTTAGTGATGAGGTTTAACTGTGACTACATCTATATTGATATGCTAACCTGGGCAGTGTGGTGTCACAGAAATCACTTCGAATTGAAATCAGAACTGAGTTTGATTCCTGCCTCCATAATTTATTGGTACTTACTTCTCTGACCCTCAGTTTCTTTGTCTGTGAAATGAGGTAATAATAAAGTACTATTTAAACTGTATGAGGAAACTGGGTAATCTAGTGGAAAGGGCATTGGATTTAGCATTAGATTATATGAGTTACCTGTCTTACCCTTAGGTGTTCTGTTGTTGTTCAATTGTGTCAAAATCCTTTTTTTTTTTTTTTTTGGATGAGGCAGTTGGGGTTAAGTGATTTGCCCAGAGTCATACAGCTAGTGAGTATTATGTGTCTGAGGCCAGATTTGAACTCAGGTCTTCCTGACTCCAGGGCCGGTGCTCTATCCATTGCGCCACCTAGCTGCCTCTATGGTGTCCAATTCTTAATGACTCCATTTGGGGTTTTCTTGGTGAAGGTACTGAAGTGGTTTGACATTTCCTTCTCCAACTCATTTTATAGATGAGGAAACTTGAGGCAAATAGAGTTAAGTGACTTGTCTAAGATCACACAGCTTGTAAGTGTCTGAAGCTAGATTTGCTTTCAGGAAGGTGAATCTTCCTTACTCCAGGCCCAGAACTCTTATCAACTGTGCCATCTAGCTGCCCCACAATTCTGTGCATATTTCTGTGCATTAATAAAATTAGGAGCTTGGACTAGAACCTAGTCACTGGATGATTACTAAGATCTTTCACTTATAAATCGTGCTATGAGCTTAAGTATCATATAAATTTGAGATATAGGTGGGTATGTCTAAAGAAAATCTTACATCCTCATAGTACTTATCCCACTTCCCACATTTAATATTTGATCTTTCAACAGAGTTATTACTGTTGACAACTTGGCCATTCACTCCTAGTGAGGGACAAGTTGGAGTCAGCTCATACTGGGGAGAACAGATTGTTAAATTTTCACTGTGAGCATTTATACTGCAGAAATCTGGGAAACACTATAAATGAGGGCTTGATTTATTGTTTTGTTGATTGTTTAGACTTAAGAAAGTTATTGATAGAATGTGAATAATGCAGATTAAATTTAGAAGTGTATCAAGGGTACAGTTTTCTCCATTGGAGTACTGGTTGTTAAACATTTACCAGCACACCCCTGCTCTCAGCTCATAGGTCAACTCATAAAGAGGGCTCCTACTGGTCAGAATTGTATCCCAGAACTATATACCAAAACTGGTTTGTTTTGTAGCTACTATTTACCAGCAGAATATTACTATGCCACATTGTGTAAAGTTGTACTTCAGCGTACCTCGAAAACCTTGCTTTAGCCTTGCTCGCAATTAGTTTGAGAATCTTGTTAATCCTTGCTACACATGTCCAATTGTATTGTGATGCACATTACTTCAATTTCAGTAGTCTGGCTTTATTTCTGGAATTGATTGTGGCTGATCCTCTCTGGATCCTTTCATGATCACTAGGGCTTGGAGATTATGCAGCTGCTAAAATGCTAAGAGTCAAGTTGTGCAGTCTAGAGCAGATACAGACCTTTATGGCTTATTGGACAAAGCCAGTGGCTTCATAAGCCTCTGAATCTTAATGCCACAGGTATCCCTGTACTCAGTATGGCATTCTCCCAGAGATCATGCTGTTCTTTCACTCATTATATGTTAGCTAAGAAGTAGTATATTGAAATATTTCAGGACGACAATTTTGAACTGATATAGCCAAGATTCCATTAACAATGTCAGTTAAGATTGTGTGGATTAGCCGATGCTATAATAAGGTCTAGAGTGAAGGTTAGAATTTGGATCCTTCTGTAATCCCTTAGTAGACTGATGGTTAAATATATGGTTATTGCAGAGTTTTTTAGACAAATTTAGTGCAAGGGGACAGAGATTGGTCCTGTGATTTCTGTAGTATAGAGAGTTCTTAGATGAGAAAACTGCTCCTATCAATGCATTTTCTTTTCAAATTATAATCTTATAGAATTTCCTAGAACATCTTATTTGCCCAGGATGTGTCAGAGGCTGGACTTGAACTTGGGTCTTCCTGACTCTGAGTTCAGGTCTTTATCCACTATATCATGCAACTTCTTAGCACTGGAGAGCAAATTTCATAATTTTAGGTAGAAAAATTTGTGGTCTTTTCAAATGTACTTCCCCCCCTCTGAAAGTAATCTCTCTCTCTCTTGCCGCTCTGCCTTTTTTTCTCTGTAGGTGACTGGCATCGTGGGCAGAGCAGATGTATTAGCTTGTTTGCTATTTCTATTGGCCTTTCTCTCCTATAGTAGGTGAGTATCATTATATTTGTTCTTACTTTTGATCCATTTCTCTCCTTTGAGAACCCTTCAGTGTTTGTAGTCAACTTGAATCAGTTGACCTTACAGAGCAAGATATTTTTCTGAAAGAAAAAATTATGCTATCAGAAATGCTTTTTGTGTACTAGAAAGAATAGAGTAAGATTCTCTCTTTATCCCAATGCCCTACTACTTAAAACTATACCCATTCTTTGAAATGAGCTATAGGGTTAAAATGGACCCTTTCCCCCGTAATGTTGGGAAACTAAACCCTTCTTACCTTTCTTCTGTAATTTTTGACCAAGAACAAAAAATTTGGAATTCTAGCTTCCCCCAAACAAAAAAAAACATCAAACCTATGTACAGTTCTTTCACCTTTTCACTGAACTTTGCTGTATTTAATATTTCCTACGTCATTATTCACCTATTCCACCTCTTTCTCAGTCCCTCAATTATACCTTGCAAGTTAGCTCAAAGTTTAAGAGAAATTAGGATTGATCTGAAGCAGGGGTTCTCAAATTTTTTAAAAATTCCTTAATATTATATATTGTGAATATCTTCAGCAAGGGTAAATAAAGGATCCTAGGATGTATGGGTAGGATTTCTTTGTTGTTGGGAAGTAGAGAGTGGTAGTATTATCCTTATATTTTAACCATTCTGAAAAAATAGGATTTTCATCTTGCCACTGGTCTATTGGTATAGGTAGAAGAAATGGGAAAACGTGAATGAGAAATGTTGTTTTCCCTCATAGAATATATAACCTCTTTGGGGGTAACTTCTTGAAGAAGTGTTTAATTTTTGTCTTTATTTTCCCAGTATCTAGCACAGTGCTTCACACATTGCAAGTGCTAAATGAATGCTTTTTGATTGATTGATTGATTTTAGATCAAAAGGAGTTAGGAAGAAAAGATGGCAATACCAATCATGCTGGCATGGTTTCAGGAAACAAAATATGTCTAGGAATTGTGCCTACATTTCCATGTAGTCACGTAGACTCCTTTCACTGACCTCTTTCCCTGTTTCCCTCAAACATCCCTACTATGTTATTTTATTGCAGCTGGCTGGTATTCTGTCCCCTCCTTTTTCCCAGGTGCTAGGGAGGGATAAGATGCCAGTTGTCACTCTGCAATCTCCAGAACATGAAATGTTCACAAAGTTGCTGCTTGGTCACCCAATCAAGGAAGCAAAAACAAAAGAGACAGAGGTGAACAGGACAGGTACTCTTCCCCTTAATCAGCTCTTAGAGAGGCAGTTTAAAGGAAAAGCTCTGAAGTAAAAGGCTGATGAAGGAGTGGTCACCTCTTTTGCATACCCACTTAGTTCTGGCTCCGCAACCCCTGAGTAATCTGTTTTTCTTACTTTGAAGACAATAGAAGAGTTTTCATTATGAACTTTGTAGCAGTATTTCAATCATGCATGTGCAGATATTAGTTCCCTTCTAAGTTTTCGCTCGGTCACTTAGACTGAAACCAGGTTGGGAATATCTGAGCATAATTCAAGAACTGGCCTTCATAAGTTAACCCACTCGTGTTACGTTTGGGTACCTTATGACCTTGAATCTTTGGCAATTTGTTATGGTCATGATTCATAGACATACAGCATCACCAAGAAAAGCAGTATGATATAGTAGGCAGAACATTGGATTTGAAGTTAGAAATGTTCAAGTGACATTTCTAACATTTACTAGTTGTAAGATGCTGAACAAGTCACTTAATCTTTTAAGCCTCAGATTACTGGTAAAAATAAATAAATAAAATTTGCATAACAATGCTTACCTCACAGGGTTGTTACGAAGATCGAGTAAAACAATATATTAAAACACCTTGCAAACTGAAGTGCTATATAAATATAAGTTATTATTATTATTCTTGATGTCATTGTTAAAAAGGTAGGCTTTTGAGACAGGATCATTGAAGGACTGTATAATTTCCCAAATGTGGTCTAATTTGCTCTGTTATTCCTATGCGATTCTAAGCCATGCTCATTCACCATCTGCAGTGTCTGTTCAAGATATGAACTGAAATTCTAAAGTGATTGCATTTCCAACTGCATGTCTAGGCAGTAAGGTTTTTCATCTCCTTTGTTTTTATTATATGGATTGCTAATCTGATTCTTTGAGTGGCAGTGGATCTCAGGAAGGAGCTTCTCCTCCTTGCATTTTTCCATGACTTAAAGCAGTTGACACAATGTCATCTGCAAACAGAAGCATCTGGTGTATCTCATCATCTGCAAGGAAGCCTTCTTTCATTTGTACTTGGGTGACCCATTAAGAATTCAGAGGTTTTGGAGTCAGAGGACCTCAGTTTGGATCCTGGTTCTGCTCCTTACCACATATGGGGTGTGGGGGAAATCACTTTTGCCACTCTGGGCATTTCTGTCCTTACCTGTAAAATGAGGGGGTCGGACTTGATGACCTTTAGTGGGAATGGATGGGTGTGGCTCATCATCGTCAGGGCCAGTTCACTTAGTGTAAGCTGAAAAATATTTGCCCTGCTAGTGAGTTATCATCATAAAGGGAATTGTAAGAGCTACTTAGTAATGGTTCTCCTCCAGAAAACTGACTTTCAAACTTGTTTGCAGGAGCATGGATCTGCTTTACATTGGGGAGTGTTTTCCTCCTAAGACTTCTCCATTCTTTCTGCTGCTCAGTCTGTTTCTGGGGACCTGTGCAATGTTGGTCAAAGAGACTGGAATCACCGTGTTTGGAGTGTGCCTAGTCTATGATCTTTTTTCCCTACCTCACAACAGAGGTAAATGGTAAGTTGTTTTGAAGGTTTTCTTCTATATAGGCATACAAATCAAAAGTAGAATCATCTGGAACTTTATTAGCATTAAATGCTCAAATTTTTTTTTTAAAAACTTTAGCATAGTGGAAACAAAAAGACCTACAAAAATAATTATAACAGTATATTTCTGTATTTGTTGAAACACTAGGATCAAATCTGACATGCCATATTAAGATTTCTGAGAGGTATTAGATGATGGAAGCTAGATTATTTTTCCCCCATGTTTTCTCATCTTGATCTTATGTCCTTTTAATGAGGCTGATTAAAAATGGTGATGGCTAGAGTTTGCCATTATGAATGGATAGAACTTTTATGGGCCTGCTTTTTCTTTGTCTGAAATGGGTAGGAGTATCCCAACCTGTCTTTTCCTCATAGCTCATCTGTCTTGCAGCAAGACCCACATGGTAGTTTCTAGGTTTTTGGAAGAAGTGTGGTTTGAGTATGAAAAGAGGGAAGGCATTCCAACTGAACTGGGAAAGCACCAAGATAATTAAGGTAAGGGAAAGGAAGTGGGAAGGCCCAATAAGAATACAGAAAAGTACATTTGTTTAAAAATAATCTTACTATTATAGCTTCCATTTATATAGTACTTTCCTAATAACAACAAACATGTGCGGTCATTAGTGCAAGTATTGGTTTCCCTATTTGACAAATAAGGATACTGAGCCTTGGCGAGGTTAAGTGACAAGTATAGACAGGCAACTTATATGTATCCTTGCTTGGACTTAAACCTACGTCCAGTGCTCGTTTTGGTATTCTCATGTTTCCCGTAAGATCATGTTAGATTTTTAGTTCTGGAAACATTTTTGTTCAGGTTCTGAAGTAAAGGAGCAGGTAGGTGGTACAGTGGATAGAGAACCAGGCCTGGAGTCAGGAAGACCTGAGTTCAAATCCAGTCTTACACATTTAATAGTTTGTGACCCTGAGCAAGTTACTTAACCCTCTGTGCCAGTTTCCTTATCTGTAAAATGAGCTGGAGAAGGAAATGACAAATAACTCTAGTATCTTTGCCAAAAAAACTCCCAAATAGGGTCATAAAAAGTTGGTCACGACTGAACAACAAACAACAAAAATCTGAAGCAAAATTGATACCTGGGTATCTTTCTTGGAGGAGCCAATGAGTAAAATGACTGCTAGTGAATTAATTCAGAGGTCAGTGACCAGTCTTATCTTAAGTATCATTGGTAAGGGAAAAAAGGGAAGTAAAGAAGGGGAATGAATGGAAATAGGCATGAGTGAATTGAATAGAGTGTCCAGAACTGTTGACTTAAGTGCAAGTGCCATTTGTGTCATTTATTCATTATAAATGGCTTGATTCTTTCATCTAGACAGATTACTGCTGTCCTAGAGACAGATAGTGCTGCTGGTGTCTGAGATGTATGTGTAGAATTACAGAATTCTCAGAATTTTACACTTGGTCCTAGTGGCCATCTAGTCCAACTAGGATCAAATAGTTAGATGTATTACTTCTCTTGTGAGTGATATTGTAAAGTACAATTTATTTTAGAATTGATTTTTCCATTCCCTGTAATTAAATAAGATTAAAAGAAACTATTCTGCCATAATTTTTATACTTTTTTTCTACCATCAGTATCAAAGCTAAAATATCTCACTTGAGATTCATAGATACAAAAAATTTTCAGTGCATTGAGAAAACTAAAGTGTCGTATTTCTTTTTTTTTCATTTTTACATTATTTTTCTCTTCCATTTCCCCTGCCAATTGACCACAGAAAAGAAAAAGAAAACCCTGATAATAAATATGCATAGCCTAGCATAACATGTATACCTCATTCTGCATTTTAAATGCTTCACCTTTTGGGCAAGAAGTGGGGAGGTGTAGTATGGTTCATTTTCTTTCCTGTGGCATCATGATTTATCATTGCATTAATCAGCATTCTAAAATTTCAAAAAGTTTTTGTTTATATTATTTTTGTCATTGCATACATTCTCCTACTTTTGCTTACTTTACTCTGCATCACTTCATATAGCCTTCCCAGTTCTCTTTAAAAATGTCCATTTCATGATTTCTTATGGACAATAATATTCCATTATATTCATATACCTTAAGCATTCTTCAGTAAATAGGCATCCTGTTGGTTTGAATTCAGTTTTTGACTACTATGGAAAGACCTGTTATAAATATTTTCAAACAAATGAGATCTTTTCCTCTTTCTTTGATCTATTTTGGGAACAGGACTACTACTTATATAGTTGGGTCAAAGTGTATACAGAGTTTTAAGATATAGTTCCAAAATGCTTTCCTGAAAGGCTGAACCAACAGTATCTTAGTGTACTTATTTTCCCACAGCTTCACCAATATTTATTATTTTTCTCTTTTGTCATCTTTACTAATCTAGATGTCAGATGGGACTTCAGAGTTGCTTTACTTTCTACTTCTTTATTATTGATTTGGAACATTTTTTCATATGATTGTTGAGATGAAAGCTTGGATTTCTTCCTTTATAAACTGCTTATTCAGAGCTCTGATTATTTTTCTATTGAGAAATGGTTTTTAGTCTTAGAAATTTATATCAATTCCTTATCATGGATACTAGGCCTTCATGAAAGAAACTCGAATATATTTTTCCTATTTATCTGTTTCTCTTCTAATTTTAACTTCATTAGCTTTGTACAAAAATGTAAAATTCCATGCAATCAAAATTGTCCATTTTGTCCTGTGTGATCTTCTCTGTCACTTGTTTGGTTGTGAACTCTTCCTTTATTCGTTATGTCTAAGTCATATATCCATTTTGTATATTATCTTGCTGTATGGTATTGACCTATATATAATTTCTGCTCAACTGCTTTCCAGTTTTCCTAATAACTTGTGTTTATTGAATACTATTCTATATTCATTTACTTCTTTACGGTGTGTACCTAATCAGTTACACTGATCTACCTCTCTTTTAATGAGTATCAAATTTTTGATGGTTACTACTTTGTAACTACTTTGTTACTTTGTAACTCCTTTTGTTACTATTTTCCAACTACTTTGTAGATTACTGAGGTCTCATCTGATACCTATCAGATTGGCAAAGATGACAAAAGAGAAAAATGAGAAATATTGGAGGGCCTTTGGAAAAATGAGCACTTTAAAAGTTATTAAACTGTGCATAACCTTTAATCCAGCTTTCTTTTTCAGTCCTACTTCCCCCCTCCCCTATTATTTACCTTGATAGTCTAGGCATTTTGTTCCTCCAAATAAATTTTGCCATTGTTTTATACAGCTTTTTAAAATTACCCACTTTGTAGCCTGATTTTTATGTAGTATTAAATTTGTAAATTAATTTAGTTAGTATTCTCATTTTTATTATACTGGCACAATCTAGTCATGGATTATTTATTTCTTTAAAGAGTGTTGCATAAATGTTACAATACAGCTATTAAATTTGACTTAGTATATTGGGTCCTGGATATTTTATGCATTTTTAGATTATTTTGAATGAAACTTCTTTTTCTATTATTTTTTCCTGAATTTTACAATTGCTGTATATAAATATTTTAAATTTTCTGTTTATTTTGTATCCTGATGCTTTACTGGTATGCCTAATTATCTCTCTTCCTCTCTTTCTTTTTTGCTAATTCTTTTAGGGTTTTATATGTGAACCATGACATCATCAGCAAAAAAAGGAATAGTTTTCTCTCTTCTTTGGCTATTATTCTGCATTTAAATTTTTGTCTTATTTTATCATTGACATTTCTAGAACTGTGTCAGATAATAGAAGAGAAAGGGAGGCATCTTTGCTCTGTTCCTGTATTTATTGGGAATGCTTCTAGTGTTTCTACATTGTATGTAATACTAGCTTTAAGTTTTAGATAATTTTTATTATATTAAGAAAAGTTTCTTCTACTACCAAAGAATTATTTTATAGATCTAGAACAAATAATAATAAAATTCATCTGGAAGAACGAAAGGTCAAGAATATCAAGGGAATCAAGGAAAAATGTGAAGGAAGGTAGCCTCACCTATACCAGATTTCAAACTACATTACAAAGTGGTAATCACCAAAATGATGTGGAACTGACTAATAAATAGAGTGGTGGATCAGTGGAATAGATTAGATATGCAATACACAATAGTAAGTGACCATAATAATCTAGTGTTTGATAAACCCAAAGATCCAAACTTTTGGGACAAGAACTTTCTATTTGACAAAAATCTCATCAAACTGGAAAGCAATTTGGAAGAAACTAGGCATAGCCCAATATCACAGCATATACCAGGACAAGGTCAAAATGGGTACATTAGATATAATGGATATAAATGATGATATAAGCAAATTAAAGGAGCGTGGAAAATTTTCCTCATCAGATCTGTGCATGAGGGAAGAACTTATGGCCAAAAAAGAGATAGAAAGGATCACAGGAAGTGTAATGGATAATCTAATTACATGAAATTAAAGAGTTTTTATACAAACAAAACCAATGCTGCCAAAATTAGAGGGAAACCAGGAAACCGGGGGTGAAATTTTATAGCATGTTTCCCTGATAAAGGGCTAATTTCTGAAATATATTAGGAATTAAACCATATTTACAAAAATAAGAGTCATTCCACAGTTGACAAATGGTCAAAGGATGTGAACAAGTAGTTTTCAGAAGAAAAAAAATCAAAGCTTTCTCTAATCATATGAATTGATGCAACGTGATGTGAGTTAGAACGAGATCATTGTAAGAGTAACAGCAATACTGTAATGATCGACTGTGAATTAGCTATTCTAAGCAACAGTGATCCAAAACAGTTCTGACGATTCATGATGGAAAATGCTATTTACCTCTAGAGAGAGAACTGATGAACCCTGTGTGCAAATTGAAGTACAACCTTTTCACTTTGTTTTTCTTGCTGTTTTTGCAATATGACTAATATGGAAATAAATTTTGCATGTGATTTATATGACATGTATAATTGATATATTGATTACATTCTCAATGGGTAGGGGACAGGCTGGAGGGAAGGAGAGAATTTGGAACTCAATTAAAACAAAAGAATGTTAAAAATAAATAAATAACAATTTATAAAAAAGAGATTCCTCTGTACCTATACTTTGGGGTGTGTGTGTGTGTGTATGTGTGTGTTTTAGTGGCATAAATGAGTTATATGCCTTCTCCATGACTTTCTCTATAACTATTTAATTAATTGTATGTTTTTAAAAAAATCTGTCTCATTATTTTTTATTTCTAATATTGAACCATCCTTTCATCCCTGTTGCAATTCAGTCTAATCATAGTGGATATATACTTTTTGGATGTACTTTTCCATAATTTTTCTTTTTTGGCCAGAATTTTATTTAAATTTTTTAAAATTAATATTTGTTACCAATCTGTTATTTTTTTCCCTTTGTCCTTTTCTGGCTTAGGGATCAAGGTTATATTTGTTCCTATAAAAGTAGTGATATTTCTTAATTGTTCAGAATAATTTTGTAGTATAAAAATTAATCTTTAAAATTCTAAAAGAATTCACCTTTAAATTTATTTTGACCAAGGTTTTTTCCTTGGGCTGTTTACCTATAGCTATTTTAATCCTCCAAATTAGATTGTTTCAATCTGTATTTAATTATATTAATGTGAGGATTTTGTGTTTTTGTAGATACTCCTCCATTTTAAAAAAAATTCACAACTTTACTGGCACATAATTATGCATAGTATGTTCTGGTAGCTATTTTTATTCTTCCTCTGTTGTAATTTTACCTTATTCATTTTAGATTTTGGTAATTTGAGTTTCTTCTCTCCTTTTGAATCAAGTCAGCTAAGGACTGATCAATTTTGTTCATCTTTTCAAAGAAAAACTTTTAGTTTTGTTCATTAATCCTATAGTTTTTTTCTGTTTTTAAATAACAAGAGTTCATACTTTTGAAGTACAAAATTTGAGCTTCCTTCTCTATCAATTTTCTGTTATTGTTTTTGCTGATCTTGCCTTGTCCTTCTTATTTCTACTGTGCTTCACTCTTAGAAATATCAATTCATGGGGGAATTAATGTTATAGAAGTTATACTATTCCCCCAGTTATGCAGTCCTGGCTTCTCAAATACTTTAAGGAGGCAACTTTTTCTGTAAAATATTTTTGTAATTATTTTTATGGAACTGCCTTTTCAGTCAGTTTACAAGCCACATTACATTATAGTCACACCTTGTTTTCAAATTACCTTTCATATTTTAGCTGATTTTCACAGAAATATTATACAAGTTGTAACAGTGTGTATACTTTTGTCTTGCTAACTCTTGGACCATATAAAAAGAATAACTGAACTCTGAAGTTTTTTTCTTGTGAAATCTATATATAATAACAATTTTTAAATATAAGATGTCATCATTTTATACTTTTATTTATGAGTCTTATTTCTTGCCCTGCCATAACAGAACAGAAGTTTAATCTTTAGAAACAGAAATGTTGTCTTATAATGTTCCCTACTTCTTTGTTTCCCTTGATCTAAAAAAACCTATCAATACTGCCAAATAGTAAAGATCTAAGTCGTCATTAAAATTTAATCGACTTCCTGCCTGTTCATGAGAGAATTTGAGTGTATTTATTAGTCTAATATTGATGCTTAGGGAATTTCAACCATATAGTAAAGTCAAGGATCATGCTCTTTGACCAAAGCTCTTATTGAGCAAATAGCTTTTCCCTCTTAGACCATGCAGTGCTGTGAAAGCCACCTGCTTGAATGAGTTCTTCCCCGAGGGCCATATTGAACCTCCTATCCTTTGCTCTTAACTTTTCAATGTTTACCATTAAGTCTCAGTAGATGACTTCTTTCCAAATAGATGAGAGTGACTGTGATATAGAAACAGATTGGCTAACTATATTGTCTCAGTTTTTAGAGAGCAAGCTATAAAAATATTTTTTTCCTTTCCTGGTTTTACCTTTCAGCTACATCCTAATGTAATTTTGCTTTGCTTCACTGACAATAAATAGATATGATATCTTTTTTTTGGAGGGGGGGGAGGCAATGAGGTTAAATGACTTGCTCAGGGTCACACAGCTAGTAAGTGTTATGTGTCTGAGGCTGGATTTGAACTGGGGTGGTGCTCTATCCACTGTGCCACCTAGCTGCCCTGATATGATATATTAATGTGAAGACTGTGGCTTGGTTCAGACATAGTTATTTTAAATTATAATTGGGCATTGCTTTATAGAGTTCAGGATCCTGTGACCTCTGTGTCCTAACTTAAAGAGGAGAACATTACCTGCTCCTGTCTTCCTAGATTTGTAAAATCCATTTCCTTACTCTTTAGCCCTTTTATGATTTTACCTTACTTATTTTCCTCTTTATTTTAAGAGGAGACAGTAACAAACAAAGAATTATCATTTCTAGTGATTGCTGAATAATTCAAGTATTTTCTAATATCTCATTAACTTGCCATGAAGTTTGGAAACAAGTTTAGGTCTCTTCAACAAACTGAAATCACATATTCTAATTTTGTGTTTTGTAGCAATTTGTATTTGGGCTAAGAATTGTTCACTATCCCCGTTAAAAAAATCCTCCATGGGGGCAGCTAGGTGGTGCAGTGGGTAGAGCACCGGCCCTGAAGTCAGGAGAACCTGAGTTCAAATCCAGCCTCAGACCAAACACTTGACACTTACTAGCTGTGTGACTCTGGGCAAGTCACTTAACCCCAATTGCCTAAAAAAATAAATCCTCCATGGCTTTCCAGAAGTGATAACAGAGTAGAATATTAACAGGGACCCTGGTCTCTTTCCATTGAGTAGGCCAGATTCTTATCTCAGCCCAGGCATTGATACATTTATGTGTCCTTGGCCCAGTCATTGAACCTCGCTAGAGTTCAATTTCCTCATCTAGTGACAGAGGGTTGCATTGGATAATCTCTAAAGTTCTCTTTAGTGTGAAATAATGTGAACATTGAAGAAGCATGAATAAAAGCAATTACCCATATATTTGAAATAGTCTAGTAAGTGAAGGGAAAACTCATTATTGAATAAGGTGACATTTAAATATGGATTGGGATGACTTTTCCATGCATCATCTTTTGTGAAGAAAAATGTGTGTTAGAACCAACTCCAACAAAGAGTTAAATTTTTTTTCTGTTTTTTTGCTTTCTAATATCTTGGTTTTTTTTTTTCATTTTTATGTGTAATTAGGAGCAACCAAGAAGTACAACAGTGGATTTCTCACCAGCCTGTAGCCTCTGAACTCGCCTTGCTACCCTCCTCTCACAAGGAAAATGCAAAGCAACATCCCAAAGGGACATGGAACTCATGCCCCTCCCTATTGCCTACTGAACAGAAGAATGTAATCCCTGTGTCCAGGCCAGCAATGTGGAACATTCTGAGGTATAGTTCTGTGAGCCTGCTGTCAGTTTCATTTTCAACATTCAATAACAAAAAGAATTCTAATAAGGCTGTCATTGGTTGTTCTGTGATGATTAAGGATGAATAACAAGAGTTTAAATTGTTTTGAGGCTTTTACTTTTGGTTATGTTTGATTTTAGAAGGGGTACTTGGGTTCAAATCTTGACTCTGCCAATTATTAGCTGAGTGATAAGCAAATTATTTTTCCTCTCTGGGCCTCAGCCTCCTTAATTGTAAAATGAAGAGGCTGGACTAGATGGCCTTCTAGTTGTAAATCTATGATTGTCACAGTGGGGTAGAGGTGTCCTGGCCCTTCACCAGGGAATTAGTGGAAGCTCTGATATTTGATGTGATTTGGAATGGGAAGAGGAAGGCATAGGCATGAAGTTAAGAAGAATAAGTAGTTTATATGTAATGAGTGTTTGTGTGTGCTCATGTAGATTATTTATGTCTATGTGGACCTGTCTAAATGTACCTTACTAGAATCTCCTCTGCTCACCCTTCTCCAAGGGAGACATTGATTCCTACCAGAAGGGGAGCAGGAGAGTGGGACCATGAGGTTGGCCAATTTGCCCCTCCTCAGGGAGGGGGTATCAGGCTAGAATTACATCTAGCCACTTCCCTAAATATATATAGGGTAAATTATAATTAATCTCAGGACATACTTTGTGAAAAGACCTAGACTGAATCCAAATTGGCATGCTGCTTGTATGAATCAGGCTGAGTGATTGATAGTAACTAAGTTTATTGGTCACAGGGAAGAAATCTTTCCTATTGTTTATATTCATTGAATAATATATTGAATGCTGGATTTAGGATCAGAAACATGTGGATTTGAATTATCCTTTAGATTTTAACTGTACGATTGTGGACAACATATCTAACTTCTCTTAGCCTCAGTTTCTTCATTTGAAAAATAAAAATATTTTCATTGTTTGCTTCATAGGGTTGTTGTGAGGATCAAATGAAGTAATTTTATATAAAAAGATTTGTATGTTTTTAACTACTATATAAATATCTGTGGATAAAGGTAATTCCAGGGTCGGCTGCTTCAGGGAAAACAACTCTTGCAGTCCCTTCTAACTCTGAAATTCTGTGATAAAGATAAAATATAATGGAAAAAGAATATTGGGCTAAAAACACATGTAATTACACAGGGTGTACTTACATGTATGTAAACATACTCCTGCATATATACATATGTGTAGATGTGTGTATATGTATACGTATGTGTACAGAGTAGAATTTTTAACTAAAGTTTAGAAGAGATCATGAAAAATGAAATAGGTAATTTTTTCTATGTAAAATAAGAAAAATTGATACACCAATAAAATAAATGAAGATAGATTAAGAACTTTTAGAGTGGGGAAAAATATTTACAGTAAATATCAACAATTAAAGAATGATATACATATATATAGGAAACTGACAAAAATATGTAATACTAAGAGCCAATTTTATCTCTATATACATATTTATATATTTCATTACACACATATAGCTGCATATATGTGTAGACGTGTCTATGTGTTCACTTTCATATACACATGTGTGGACATCTAGGTAGGGCAGTGGATATACTGCTAGGCTTGTGGTCAGGAAGACTTGAGTTCAAATCCAGCCTCAGACATTTACTAGCTGTGTGACCCTGAGCAAGTCACTTAACCCTGTTAGCTTCAGTTTCCTCATCTGTAAAATTTAGCTGGAGAAGGAAATGGCAAACCATTCCAGTATCTTTGCCAAGAAAACTCCAGTAGGGTCATGAAGAGTCAGATACAACTGATACAACTGAATAACAACAACACACATGTATGAGAGGCAGCATGGCATGGTAGATAGAAGGTCAATATTGGAGTCAGGAAGGCCTGAATTCAAGTTCTGTCTCTGATAAAAACTAACTGTATGACCATAAGTAAGCCAGTTAAACTTTTGATGTTCCCTAGGCAACTCACTAGTACTAAAAATTACAATTTTGTTGCATATCTGCATCAGTGTAAAGAATTTCCACATGGAGGACCCAATTCCAGTGAGATCACTGGAAAAAAATTCATACATGTACATGTAACATTTGTTTTAAAAAGGTTTTTATTAATGCCTTTTGTACTCAATTAGTTATTTCTTGAGGTGTCTTTCCTTTTCAGCTGACTCCCCTGCCACCACCAGCCAACCATCCAGATTAAATCTTTCCTTATAACTAAGAAAAATAAATTCAAAAAAATTTTAAAACTCTACATAAAATGATGACATCTGATAGCATATACAGTATTCTGTCTTAGTGGTTGTATGTCTCTGCTGTGAAGAGGGAGGAAATAAAAAATACAATTTTTTTTAAAAATAAAAAATTAAAAAATTTTAAAATAAAAATTTTAATCTATTCTTTAAGACCATAATTAGGATTTTTGAGGGCTCTGAGTTCAACTTCCTTTTCAATATATTTTATTTATTCTGTTAAATTTCCCAATTACATGTGAAATTTTATTTAACATTCATTTAAAAAAATTTTGAGTTCTGAATTCTCACTCCTATGTTCTCCCACCCTATGAGAAAGAAAGCAGTATTATCTTGATTATACATTGAAGTCATGCAAAACATGTTGTCCATTCTTTGTTTTGAAGAAGACCAATAACATTATGGGGTGATATCTTGACTTGCACGTGAATTGGATTTAAATGATGCAGAGTTGCACAAAATCGCCAGGCTCACTCTTCCAGAGTCATCAAAGTCCAGTGGGAAGAAAAAAAGTCAGGATAACTGGAGATGGCCTAGGGTGCAGTGGATGACCATGATGTTTTTGATGTCAGACCAAGCTCTAAGTAGTCTACAATGCATGCTTTAGCTTCCTTCGTGGCTGTTGGAGCAAATTGTTCTCATCTGTCCCTTCCACTGAGGAGAAGTCTTCACATGCTTGGGACAGATATTCCTCCTAACTCCTCAGTGGTTTGCGGCCTGTAGATGGTTTAACCAAGGTGTGGTTGCTGTACATGCCTCTCTCATCTCTGACTCTACGCAAAACATTTGGCATTTGAACAACGTGGTCAGCCTATTGGAGTTGTGCTCTCTGCAGGAGAGTTTTAATGCTTGGCAGTTTAGTTCAAGAAACGACCTTCGTGTCTGGTACCTTATCCTGCCAGGTGATCTTCAGATTCTTCCTAAGACAATTGAAATGAAAGCGATTCAGTTTCCGGGCATAATGCTGGAATACTGTCCAGGTTTCACAGGGATACAACAATAAGATAGGCACAATGGCTCTGTAGACCTACAATTTGGTATGTGGTCTAATACCTCTTCTCTACCACACTTTTCCTTCAGAGCCTCCCAAACACTGAACTAGCTCTGGCAGTGCATATATCAACCTTATTATCAGTGTGTATATCCTTGGAAAGCATACTGCCAAAGTAAGTGAACTTATTTACAATATTCAGAACTTCTCCATTTGCTGTAACCAATGGTTCCAAGTGTGGATGGTGTGGTCCTCGCTGGTGGAGCACCTGTGTTTTCTTGGTGTTCATTGTTAGGCCAAAATTAGTACAAGGAGCAAGGAAATGATTCATACTTTGTTGCATTTCAGCTTCAGAGACTGCATTGAGTGCACAGTCATTTGCAAACAAAAAAATCATGCACCAGCTCTCCCTCCACTTTAGTCTTGGCTTGTAACCTTTTCAAGTTAAATAATTCAGAAACTGCTAAAGGAAAAATGAAGACTCTACCGGGTTTACCATCAGGATAATGCATCCATCTCTAAGAAGGCAGCATTTAACTCCATCAAAAGTAAACTACAAGGAAAGCTTAGAGAGATGCAGGATTCTTGGTTCAGTAAAAAGGCAGAGGAAATTCAGTTTTATGCTGACTGTAACAATCCAAAGCTCTTTTATGATAGTCTTATGGGTCAAAGATGTATGGTGCATTTCAACTACTCAATGCTGATGGAGCCACATTGATTAGTGATTAGATATTGGAGAGATGGGCTGAACACTTCCATAGTGTTCTCCACAGACCATCATCAATCAATGCTGAAGCCACTGATTGTTTACCTCAGGTTGAAATCAGTCCCTTTCTAGAAATTTTGAATGTTATTAGGCTCCCCTCCTGTGGCAAAGCACCTGGTACTGATTGTATTACAGCTGAGATTTCCATAGTTGGGGGGTCTCTTGCTCATACAAAAGCTGATTGAAATTTTCTGGATTTGAGTCTTGTATTTGAAAATCAAATTTTCTGTTTAGCTCTGGTCTTTTCATCAGGAAAGTTTGAAAGTCTCCTATTTCATTGGATTTTTTCCCCTGAAAGATTATGTTTAATTTTGCTGGGTGGCTGATTCTTGGTTGTAATCCAAGCTCTTTTGTGGGCTGGAATATCATATTCCAAGCCCTCTGATCCTTTCATGTAGAAGTTGCTAAGTCCTGTTTAATCCTGACTGTGGCTCCTTGATATTTGATTTGTTTCTTTCTGGTGCTTGCAGTATTTTCTCTTTGACCTGATAATTCAGAAATTTGGCTATAATATTCCTTTTTTAAAGTTGAGCTCTGCTTCTGGAGGACAGGGGGCACTGTCCCAAGCTTCTTGCACTGGGGGCCAGGGACTTGGTCATTGGTTATCTATGCTGGGGCCTCTGTGACTGGCTAGGGCCTAGTTGCACCTGTTTGCCCTGGGTTCCAGGGCTGGAAGTTTGCCTGCTGCACTGGGGCTGGAGGCCTCATAGCTGGCCTGCTGAGCCAGAATTGCAGGGCCTAGGTTGCTGATCTGTGCTGTGGCTAAGAGCCTCCTGCTGACTTGCCTGGATACTGCCTGCACTTGGCTGCACACCCATTTTACCAGTGAGACAGACCTTTCCTGAAGTCCTTTTAAGTTATCTTGGTCTGGAAAATTGTTTCACTCTGTCTTGTTGTGGATTCTGTTGCTCAAGAATTCTTTTAGAAGCTTGATGTCATATTGTTTCTGAGGGAAACCAGGGAGAGCTCAGGCAACTTCTGGCTTCTCTTCTCCAT